CCCGTGGCTCCGAGTGCTCTTCCTCACTCTTCCTGGACAAACTACTTATCCCTTAAAAGCTCACCATGCAGGCTCCCCTACCAGCTTCCTTAATTTACTTAACAAATACTGAGCACCTACTTTGTGCCAGGCATCCTGATTGCAGCAGAGAATCTAACCGCGAAAATGCACCCCTAGCCCTGGGCTTCCCACTCCCGCCCTGCGCAGTCAGTCAGCGCCTCTTGGAGGAATGGCTGCGAGCACAGGCCCTGGAGTCGGAACCGGGGCTCCAATCCTGGCTCTGTCACTCAGCAGCTGCTGTGTGACCCTGGGCAGAGCACATGGCACTGTCTGAGCCTCGTTCTCCTTATCCCCTGTGCTCCTTTGAGGAGTTAAGGAAGCGGAGCACAGAGAACTCCCAGCGTGGGCCCGGTCCTTCTCTGGGGCCAGCACGTTCTGCCTGCCACACACACCATCCAGATCCAACATGTTAGAACCTTGAGTTTCAGAAGATCAAGGTGGCCATGTCTCAGCCACCTGTCACCCCAGTGTCCAGCACAGGGCTCAACATACAGGATGACAGCAAATGCTTACTGGGTGAAACCAAACCCTGCCTCTGCTTGCCAGACGACTGGCTGCCACAGCCCTGTCGTTCATGACGGTCAAGCTGGTTTGGACTCCCCGATCTACCTGCCTGCCCCTGGCGACCACCCGACCACACAGGGCCAAGCACTGGTGCATCTCAGGACCCGGCCCCAGGCGCTGCTCTCACAGAGCCCAAGTGCCTGCAATTAGGGACAGACTGGTGGTACGGTGCTGTCGTGTCACAGGACCCCAGAGAGAGGGGCAGTCCAGGAGTCAAGGTGGGGTTCACACACACTTGGGCTGAGCCTTGAAGGGCAAGTCAGAATCAGCCGAGACAGGGGGAGGGGCACTGCAGACAGAGGGAACAGCATGAGCAGAGGCCTGGCAGCGAGACCCTGCGATCCCTAAGAGCACGGCCAGGTTCCCGCCGGGACCAGGGAACGCTGAGGCCACGGACTTGCTTTGTAGTGTCCTCAGCGGGCAGAGCAGCAGAAGGAGCCAGGGTGGCCAAGGGCACATACATGGAGGGGGCTCAGGCCACCCTGGCTTAGACCTCAAAGGCCTCTGTCCCTGGAACCTGTCCTGATGCCCAGCACACCCCTACCCAGCCTCAGTTGTGGCCCCCGCGGGCCCCAGACACCTCTCCAGGCTGGCTGCCCACAAACAGGTGGCAGAAGAGCTTGCTGGCCGGGCTCCGTGGGTTGCGGGCGATGAAGGCAAACTGGCAGTCGGCGGGGCACCAGGTGGAGTAGAGCACGCGCCTCAGGGCGTGCGCCATCAGGAGCACCTGGGGACAGTGGGCGTGAAGGCCCCTCAGACCAGCACCTGGCCTCAGCCCCGGCGCCCCCACCTGCTCTCCAGCCTGTAGGCCCAGCTGAGGGCCACCCCACTCCCAGGGGAGGAAGTCCTCCCTTCTCCCAGGCCTGCCCAGTCCCAAACCCGCATCCACCCTGCACGTGGCCCCTGGGCTGGGGACCATCCCCCCACGCTAGGGAACTGAGGGCAGAGCAGGCATGGCCTGCTGGGTCCCAGAGAAAGGCAGCAGCAGGCACCAGGGTGACACGCCAGGTTTCAAGTCAGGGGCTTTGAATCCTGACTCCGTCACTCATTCTCCATGTGACTTGGGCAGGTGAGTACAGTCCTCTGTTGTGACATGTGTCAAGTGGGGAGAATACCAGTCTCTCTCTGATCGGGCTGTTGGTAGGGGTCAGCGGGACCTCATGCAACTGGCGCAAGACCTGACCCCAGGGCCCAGGGCCCGGCAATGCCCAGGGACACCATCTGCACCGCAGCTATGGGGTGCGGGCTGGCAGGCAGGGGCTCCCACTGGCCTCCAGCCCGCGTCTGGCCCCTGCCACAGTTGTGAGAGGCTGTCCACGGCCCACCAGCCGAGGCGGGGCAGGGCACCTCCGAGAAGCTCATAGGGCTGGAAGATCCTGGTGCTCAGCCAGGAGCTGGCCCCTCTGGAGGAGATTTTGGAGACCTGCGGCACCTGCGGCCTGGAGGTGCCCTGGGAGGCGGGTCATCGGAGAGAGAAAGCCAAAGGCCCAGAGCGGACTGTGGGAAGTGCTGGGGCCAGGACCGAGGCGGAGGTGAATGCGGCCTGAGGGAGGAGACACCTGGCTCACCTGCACCCACACGGGCTCCTACCTCACCCTCCCCACTGTAGATCTTGAGTCCCTGAAGGCTGAACTTCAGGATGACAGCCCGGCGTCGGGGACAGTCCTGGGGGGAAGAGAATTGGGGGGAGGGGTGTAGGTGTCACCTCCTAGGCTTTGCCCTCAGTACCATCCACCAAGGGCTGATCAGGGATGAGGGACTCAGGGACTGAGCTGGGGGAAGTGTGGATGGCTCCTGGCAGAACATCCCCCAACCAGGGCCATCGAGAGCCACATTATGACCAGCCCATCTGTGTCTTCCAACTGTGGGGTGCAGGTCACAGACAGCCCAGAGGAAGGGAGTCCCCGGCATAAGGGATCTGGTCTGGTGGGGTCGTTCCAAGGCTTGGATCTCTCCCAGGGAAGTGCCCTCCCAGCCCCCAGCCCACCCACCTTCAGTGCCCACAGCTGTTGCTGCACCAGCCACACGCTGTCCTGTGTGTCCAGGTCGTCCACGGGGAAGGAGCCCACGTACTGCTCGGCAGCGGGGTGGGAGGGGCAGGACAGGGAGTCAGGCCCCCAGATGCCCTCTGCCCTGCCCGCCTTGGCCAGCAGCGCAGCACAGGTCCACGCTCTGCTGCTGTCACAATAGGTGACCCTGGCCGAGCCACTCGGCCCTCTGAGGTGCCCTCCCCTCCTGTGTGCACACACACTCCAAGGCGCCGGCCAGGGACGGAAGACTAGCAAACAGGTCCTTGACTGCCAGCTCCTCCCCACTCCCAGGGCCTGCCACCCAAGGGCCACCTGGACAGGGAGCCACACCCACCTGGGCGAACTTGGTGATGCTCCTGGGCTGGAGAGGGGCCGGCCCGCAGTCAGAGGCCCTGCGGCCCCGTGCCCCGGCCTTCTGCATGGTCCCCCCGGGGCCTGGCTCCTCGCTCTGCAGGAGGGAAGGCTGCGAAGGGCAGGAGGAGAAGGGCTGGTTTGTAGGTAGGCAGGTCACAGCGCCCCCAACAGGCCAGTGAGTTCATGTGTTCATTTGCTCATTCATTCATTCCTGAGCACCTGCTATGTGCCCAGCAACGTCCTGGGCACTGGGGACACAGTTCCCCCCCAAAATGATGACATCTCTGCCTGCCCTCATGGAGCTGACATTCTTACTGAGGAGAAAGATGATAAACTCAATAATAATACAGATAATATGTAGATGGTGATAAAGGGAAGAGGATCTGAAACATCAGGTTGGGGGTTGATTAAAGGTAGGAAGCCCTCCCTGAGGAGGTGAGGTTTGGGTCATGATCAGAAGAGTGGCCGGTGGCTCATGCCTGTAATCCCAGCACTTTGGAGGCCAAGGCAGGAGGATCAGAGGATCACTTAAGGCCAGGAGTTTGAGACCAGCCTGAACAACAAATTATCCCATCTCTACAAATTATTTTTTTTTCTTTTCTTTTGTTTTTAATTTTTATTTTTATATTGTTGTTTTGATTTCTTTTCTGAGAAGTCTTGCTGGAATCTACAAATTATATATAAAAAAAAATTAGCCAGGGTGGTGGTGTACACCTGTAGCCCCAGCTCCTTGGGAGGCTGAGGTGGGAGGATTGCCTGAGCCCAGGCATTTGAGGCTGCAGTATACTATGATCACGCCACTGCACTCCAGCCTGGGTGACAGAACAAGACCTTGGGTGGCAGTTCATGACCTGGGTTTCTTCCTTACTCACGCAGCAAACACTGCAGACCAAGGTGCTCAGTCCCTGCCCCAAGGGGTGGCAGTCAGTCAGGGGACAGACTCATGCAAAGTACCAAGGTAAGAGAGGGCACCTGCGACAGCTCCACCAAAGAGGAGGGTGGTGACAGCGGTGAGAACAGAGTCTGCAAAGGCACAGAGGGGGGAGAGCAGCTGCTGGAGCCCCCAGGGAGCCCTCACCAGAGCAGCAGGCCAGGACCAGTCTGGGACCAGCCTTAAATGTCACACTAGGGAACTCAGGCTCTGCCCTGGAGGCAGTGGGAGCCACGGCAGGTGGCTAAAAGCTGATGGCCAGAGCTGATGGGCCGGGAACCTGCTTCAGAGGCCCCTGCTCATTCAGCCCAGCCAGGCTCCATCCAGTCCCTCCCGGAAGCCCCTAGCCCCTTGCAGATCGTCAAGACCGGAACTCCGAGCGCTGATGCTAAGTTGGGATGCGGAGAAGCTGGACAGCTGCCCTGGGGCACTGAGGGGCGCCGCCTCCGCCCCCCAGCCCAGCCCGGTTCTGGTCTTTCCTGGGACCCTTCTCCCAGACCACTAGTGAAGGAGAGGGAGAGAGGGGAGGCCTTGCAAGATTGTCCTCATTTCCCCCGAGCGCCCAGGACCACAGCTGGTGCTCAATAGATGCTGAATAAATGCGTCAACAGACGGATGACTACAAGAAGAATAGCTGACTGCCTCTCCCGAGGTCCCCAAGGACTCAGCTTCCCCAGCCTTTCTGGGGCCAATTAGAAAGCCACCTGCATCTGCATCCTGGCTGGTCCTCTCATCGGCCCACTCACAGTCACTAACTTGGGATCAGGGAGACCTGGGTCCAAATCCTGTGTGACTCTGGGCAAGCTGCCACAACTCCCTGAGCCTCCACTGCCTCTTCTGCAAACCTGGGAGCAGTGGAGGAGAACTGGGCGGAGGAGCAGGCAGCGCACGGCCGGCCGGGCTGGGAGCCGATGCCCAACAAATAGTTTCTCGGGGCATGGGGGACCCCAAAGCCAGCCACTCGGGGGGGAGTTTGGGAGGTCAGCAGGGTCTGACCACCTTCACCCCCTGCTTGTCCCTGGCCACACCCACAGGAGACCGCTCAGTCTTGGAGGGCAAGGCAGGGGGAGGCCAGGAGAGAGCAGGTATCAGAGCTGTGGGCAGGAAAGGCTGTGTCCTGGGTGTGCCCCAACTCACCATGTCCTGGGGAGTCTTTGGAGAAGGAGGGAGGGTTTGGTGGCTTTGGAGCTGACACTGTTGGCACCAAGAGCCAGGAACAAAGGCCCCTATCTCTGCCCCCCCCTTCAACCCCAAGCTCAGGCCAGGGTGGAGGGGCCTGCGGCAATCTACAATCTACTTTACAGAGGACAAGCTGGAAAATAAGGGCTGCGGGGTCCCCTGAGGCTTTCCTGGCTCCCCTCTCATCCTGTCTGCCCCCCCCCCTGTTCTGGCCGGCACCCTCCACAGTCTGATCCTGATCATCTTGCACATTGTATCCTTTAGTGCCTTTTATGTTTAAATAAAGCAAAGTTAGCTGTGTGACAGGCACTAACGCCACCACGTGACACCTGGCCCAGGAGATGGGGCTTCCAGTGAAGCCACCTTTGATGGCAGGCCGTGGGGAGGGAGGAGGCAGAGACCAAAAAACAAACGGGACAAAAGGGAGAGAGGGAAAGAACGAAGACGCGAAGGCAGTGGACAGAGGCGGAGCAGAGAGGGGGGAGCAGACAAAAGCAGAGAGGGGAAGGAGGGCGGGAGGAGGGCGAGGAGGGCACACTGGCCATCCGCGAGCACGGAGAGTGTGCGGTGGGAAGGAGCCACGCGATCGCACGCGCGCACACACGCGCACACACGCAGAGGCAGCTGTCTATGCGGGCCTCCCCCTCCAGATCCCCAGCGGCATCTCCCGGGCGTCCGTCGGGTGGGGGTAAGGCCCTCCCTCCTGGGCGTCCCCCCATTACCTGATCTTCCCCGCGGTCCTCAGCCTCCCTGGAAACTGAAGTTTCTCCCCTCTTCCACCTCCCGCGCCTGAGGGCACAGGCATGTCAGCCCCAGCCCTGGGGTTGGAGGTGGTGGGGGTTCCCAGGGAGGGCGACAGGCTCACCCTAACCCCGGAAACAGACCCGCTTGCTCATTTGGATCAGATTTTGTTTTCTGAGGTTTCGCACGAGCCAGGCTGGGCAAGCCGTTCGGAATGAGGCCGGGAATGAGCCTCCTCGTGTCCCTCTGAGGCTTTCTGGGTGGCCCTGCCTCCTGGGTCAAGCACAGGGGCTCCCTGCTGCACTGTACTTATCCACCTTCTCGGCCTGCTGACCCTGGGCTCAGCAAATGGTGGCTCAGGGAGGTGAAGTCACTTGCCCAAGGTCACACAGCATTAGTGGGAGAGCTGGGAGGGAACCCAGGGCTCTGGAGCCCTGTCCCCAGGCCATGGCAGCGACCTTCTGCTCGGACTCCGCTGTCCCACCTACACAGGGTGTCCACCCCTGGCGCCGGCGGCCCCAGCCTGTCCCGGGGAAGCAGCCGGGGCGCAGCGGCGCCGACGGGACAGCAGAACCGCCGCTCCGGCCCCGGCGCCGCCTGCCCCGGCTCGCTCCCGCCGCCCGAGCCCGCGCGGTCGCGGAGGATGCAGACCCCGCAGCCGGGTGCGGAGCACGGACTGCGGGGCCACAGGGTTGGCTGCCGCGACCCCGGGCGAGTCGCGTTACTTCTCGGCCCGGCGGTCCGCTGCGAGGCGGGCATGCTCGGCGGCGCCTGCGGGGTTGTCGTTGCCCGCGCCCCATTTCCGAGCCCGCTCTCTGCCGCCGGGGCCCAGGTCCCCAAGTCCCCCCGCTCCGGGGCGCCCACGCCGCGGTGGGGGACGGCTGGGGCAGTGAACGCCGAGCAGAGCCGCGGGAGAGGAGAACGCGAGGTGCGTGCGTGGCCGGGGCGGCCCCGCGGAGCCGGCGACGTGCGAGCGGAAAGTGCCGCTTCAGGACCCGGCGGGGCGCGGGGCGCGGGGCGCGGCACCCAGAGCGACCGACCCGCCGCGTTACCGTCATTCCCGGGAGCCCCCGCCCCCGCCCGGGGCACGGCGCGATGGCGCAGGTGGCCGCAGACGGGTGACGGCGCGGAGGGACAGGGTGCTCGCCGCCCCTGGGACCCGCCCGCACCTCGGCGCCCGCGACCGAGCCCCGCGCCTGCCGGTCACTCCACGCCCGCGCGCCACCGGGTCTCCGCGCTCGAACCGCGAGCCGCGCCCCGCCCGTCGAGCCGCCGCGCGCCCGTGGCCGGGAACCGGCCCGATCACCTGGGCGGCGGCCCGCCGCGCCACCAATCGGCGCCCGAGGAGCCGCTGCGCCCGGCCGCGCCGCCCAATCGGCGGCGCAGGGGCCGCCACGGCAGCCCGCGCCGCCGCGCTCCGCCTTAAAGGGCGGGGCTGAGCAGGCACGGCCCCCTTTTTGGGCTGGGGCCCCTGGGTCCCCTGGGTCCCCTGGGTCCCCTGGGTCCCCTGGGCCTCACTTATGGTCCCTTCTCCTGCACAGCCGCTGCCCCTCCCGCCCCCTGGCTAGCTCCTCCTCGTCGTCCCAGCTGCGGGCTCCGCGGCGCCTCCTCCAGGAAGCCTTCCGGGACCACCCGTCACTCTCCGCTATCTGCAGAGCCCTTGCGGCTGTCTTGCTCGCTCGGTAGCCCTCTCTCAGTCGAGTGCGGCGCTGGGCCGGAGGGTCTCCATCCCCCGCGCGCGGGACAGAGCCTGGCGTCCTCCTGGGGAGCGGGGTCGTGGCGCATCCTCTCCCTCCCCGTCTTCCCGCAGGCCGCTCTCACGCGACGACTGACCCGACTGACCCAGCCTGCAGCTCGGGCCCGGCACCGAGAAGTCTGGAACGAGGTCCGTCCCTGCACACGGGCCGTGACCCCGTCCTTTGGGTCACACGGGAATCCACTTAGACGGGGCGACGGGTCAGCAAATCTAGCCAGAGTGCCAGCCCAGCCCTGAGCCCCAAAGCACTTTTGCTCCCATCAGGCTAGGCGCCCTGCAGACGCCAACCACAAATAGCAAGTCCGAGTGAGCCCGGGCTTTGGTGTGAATTACACCCGAGAGCTGCAGAAAGAAGACGCAGACGCTGCCCATGTACCGCACCGCAGAAAGGCCAGGACGCAGGGCTGGCACCCTAGCAGGCCAGCGCCCCAGGGCGGGCGCAGCAAAGTGGCCCTGGCTTGGAGCCCTGGGGCCATGCTAGACATTTGCTTTGTCTCCTCAGAGAATCTGGGGAGGCAGCAGTGAAGTGTAATGGTCAGAGGTGTGGTCCCAAATGTGGGCACTTCATCTTACTAGTGTGCGACCTTGGGCAAACAACTTAATCCCTTTAATCTTTGAGTGATCTTTGCGTAATCTGTAAAGGATGTTACTCAGGCTCGACTCACTGCGCTCTGGGGATTCCAATGAGTTCTGTGGGCAAAGCGCTTGGCACAGGACCTGACCCACAGTAAGTGAAGCGCTCAATAAATATTAGCTGATATTAGACCTTTCGTTTATTCTTGATTTTGTTTTGTATGTGATAGGACGGCCAGTGTTTACTGACTTCGGGTGTCAACTGCTCGGGGAGACGCTTTGTCACAGCCATTGGACAGCCTGGAGCCCAGCGATGAGAAGAACAAGGTGGTTTACAAGTTGGTCCTACTCTCTGCAAATG